CTGGAGTACAAATGTTTTGTGTCTGTAGTGTTTGTGCCATTACAGACAAAAGGGGAATTTCGGTCAGAGGAATACGCTAAACAAACGTAGCAGTGTAATTTTTTTGTATCCGAGTTATATGATATCCATTCTCGTTGGATTTGCTCAGCCCCAAGCGTTTGCTTGAAGACTTTTTGTACGTTAAATTCAGTACTGTGTTTCGGTTGAATAGGATGTTTTGACAACCATTCCTTTTCATTTGTGGCATTTGGCTTTTCCCATAAAAGAAGGGCGTCTTTAACAGCAGAATTACCAGACGACTGAACAGTACTCAATTCAGATGGCACTAATTGAAGTTGATCGTCATCTTTATGCTTTTCTTTTGACAGTTTCGGGGCTTTATAATAATCACTCAGCAGAACCATACCACTATTTTCATCACTTTCAACTATTACGTTTAAAATAGAGAAATTTCAGTGAAACAGCGGTAGTAAAACGAACACCAAAAGGTGTAAATCTTAGGTGTTGGGAGCACCTTAAAACAGCAACTACTGAGTACTGAGCTTTTCCTTGTTCGTGGAAATGCAAATATTGTTGGCAAATACTATTCTAAAGTTAATTTAGTTTTAGAATAAATCGCCAAAATATGTTGTAACTTATTTGTTTTATTCGTTTAGACGAATAAAGAAACGGAAATACTACAGCTTAGTACATAATATAGTGATGAAAACCCAGCACACAGAAGCTCAGCAGAGAAAAGTATTTTTTTCTTTTAATTCTTACCGTTAGACTGCCCAGGTTCTTTATCAATATTTTCCTGCTGTTCTGCCTGTTCATGTACATTATCGCGCATCCAATTGGTTATCTTCGGGATTTTTTGACTTACGGCAAGCGCTTCTCGCTGGTTTTTCAATTTTCGTTTCGCACAACCACTTAGCTGCTCTTTCCTTGGCATTCTTTAGTCTTTTTTTTACTATCAATTTTGTTTCGAAATTCGATAAACTATATTATACCAATTGCGAAACTTAGTGGCCGCGCCTTCGTATTGCACAAAAACGAGGCCAAAGTTTAGGGCAGAGGCAGAGGAGGTTGCACGGGATGTAGTAATAAAAAAAATTCGAGCATATTTATTAAAGTTTCGTAGTTAAAACAAGGCTGCCTTGAGAGAAGAGAAGTAAAGCTATCGATATTTGCAAAATTTATTGAGATAAACGTTAAATTTCAACCTGATTATGGCAACTAAGTTGGTCGTGTCGTTCCGATGTTATGATTCTTATGCGCGTTTGTTTACATTTTTTAAAGTTGAAAATATCGAATTCCTGTAGCTCGATTTTTGAAATTATTTGCAGGAGTAAAGATGAATAACAGAATAAGTAAGATAAAGATTGGCTGGATGCCTGGATCGACCCCTTGCGACCCCACACTATTTTCAAGATATCCTGTTTTGAATGAACCGTATACCTGTTTTGACACTTACCAATATAGTGATTTATATAATAATATGTTTGCCATTGTTTGATATGCACTGAGCTTGCGTAACACGCGTAAAAGTGCAAATTACGACACGATAACTAGTTTGTCCCGTATTTTTAAGACATAATTTCGGTTTTCCTGTATTCCGATCGAATTTTTGACTTTATTTTGTTGCAAATATTTTTAATGGGCTCGACCGCAAAAAGGTTTTGAGACATTGCAAGTTTATAACAAGCATTCATAGCCAGGGCCCCCTTAGTGTACAAAAGTGGGGGCCCACCGGGGCATCGCCCGGTAGCCCGGTGGGCTAATCTGCCCCTGATTGTATTGTTATCTATAATTTATGAATATATGCAAAACTTGTTCGTCGCTTTTCCCAGCAAACTAAAATTCTCATTCCCCTTACTTTCGTGCACGATAACTCAAAAAGTAATACTTATACAGCTAACCTGATGAAATTTTCATGGTTGACTTTAAAGACCATTGGCACGGAGGTGAACTAAAAGTTTTGTATTCCGTTCAGTCAAAGTAAAATAGCGATTGGTTATTTCAGATAGATAATATGTAGAAGTTTTAAATTTATAGCCTGTAAAACGTTTAATACTAGACAAGTTTTTTTATTCTAGTTCAGCCCCGAGGCTGAGGGTTCAAGAGTTAAAACCTAGTTTGTTATCGTGTTTACAAAAACCGTCTATTCTCCACCATTGGGTGTGTCTGGTCTGGGTGACTATAGTGACTGAAGTTTCCTACAATCTTTTTCACTGAGAGCAACTTGGCTTGGCAGGAGGCTTGCAATATGGCCTGAACAGATTTTTATATGCGCCAGAGCCAACGCTGGCCGGGGACAAGGTCCTGGGGGAGTAAAGGCGAGCATGTTTAAAAACATGGCGGGAATGTTGAGCGGGAAAATCTGATTTTGGTTTTCTTTAATAATTTGAGATTGCAAATTCAACTTTCATTTGCTTGTTGCATTGAATCGTAAATGAAATTATGTGGACCCTAAACATTTCCTTATGCACCAGCAAGGCAGCAACGAAAACTGTTAAAATATCGATGCCAAAGGTGGGTATTTTATAATTGTAATTTACATTTGCAATGCAATGCTAGACTTTCAAGTTTCAATTTGACTCTAGTCCTTTGACTTCTTTCAATTCAGTACTAGTTGATCCAAATGTTCAACTTCGGAATTTGAAATGGTCCATTACATCTACAATTCAATTAAGGACTTAAGGTACGTTCCACTTTATACTTAATTTACTAAGATAATTTAACAACCTTTTCACCCAATATTAATTCACCCTCTGCTTAAAGCTCAGGTAATGCTATTAGTATAATTATTAATTAGGTACATAATTCTATCCTATGCTATGGCTATAGATATAATATAATATACCATATAAGTTATTGAATCTTGAGAACATTTTCTCTAAGCTACATTGCAAAATATGTGTCTAAACATTCTCTGTTTTTTATTTTTTTCGAAACATGGCCCAAAACAATAGATTTTGTTATGACTTGGATTTGAAATAATAAATAAATAAGTATGCATAGTGTACATGTAGGTATAGCCTTTGTTTGAATTTAAAAGAGAGACCCAATCTATTCACAAACTTGAGAATATCAGTTAACAATAAATAACTTTTATTTGAACCTTGGCTGAAAATACCACACAAACTGTTTCTTATTAAAATTGTGTTTGGAATTGACCGATTCCAAATATTGACTGATTGTAAACAACTGTATACATGCAATGACATAGCTACGCGTACACTTCTTCACCAGCAAAATTAGCATGCACTGTGCAGGCTGAATCAACTATATTATTTAGCACGTACTGTACAGGCTGAATCAACTATATTATTTATAGTCCTGGGACTTGGATTTCCCTCCATGTCATGAATTTGACAGTTTTAGTAACAATAATACATCCACATTATGACAGTATATCATTTAAACATACCACAATACAATTCACTGTTCTTTTGATTTTTATTTATGATTAATTGACTTCTCAATACATTGAAGTAAAACATTAATATATAGTATTTAATTCCTACGCTTGCCATATTAAGACTGCACAGCCTGTTGTGAAGGCCATGTTGATGCAAGATTGTGACCAGCCCAATGATTTCGGCCAAGATATTTCAGAACCTAAGCAAGATTTGAAAAATTGGTTAAAAAAAGCCTTCAGTGATTGATATTTTTGAGATATATTTGCTCAAGCCACAGACTAAATGCATGTTTAATTTATTTAGGAGGTTAAATAGTGCTGTAATTAATACCAAAAAATGTGTAAATTAAGCCTTTTTTGCAAAAATATCAACTATTGGTCTCATCAGTTGACATTTGTAATTGTTAGAGGGTATTGCCGTATTGGCAACGAAAAAAACTACTCTTCTAGATATGTTTTAGATGGTTTAGGTGTTCTTTCAAATGAAGTAAACTTAATTTTCTTTGCCAATATCCTTTAAAAACAAAGAAAATGAAGTTTCATTTAGTTTTAAATTATGAGCCGATTCCCCCTTTTTAGCACCGCGCATGCGCAGCGGCAACTTCTCGTGTTTGGACATCCCGGCGGGACACGAGCTCAAGTTGTTTAGGTATTTTCTGAAATTAATTATTCGTGAGTTGAGAAATTATTACGACTGTAGATACGATTTAAATATCGTTGCTAACTTGCTAAACCTAACTGGATTGGAATTGAGTCAACAGGCGTAGGAACAATAATGCGGCGCGCATAAATTATTTTATTGCATTTTTAGTTGTGTTATATAGCAAGGGCTGTAAAACACCTTATTGTATAGAAATTACTATATATTAATATTTTGTTCCATTAATCCGCATATTGTTTCCGTATCCGTCCAGGGGCCGGTTGTTCGAAAGGCATTTAACTTAAACGGTGGATAAGAAAAAAATTAAAAATACTCTCATACATCTTGTGGATGACTGAACTTGTATCTTATGTATTAAATATGTACTTACATTAAAAATTAAGCTATTGACATTGAAATATTTCATCTCATTTGTCCAATAAAGAGATAATTTTGTTTTTCATTTTAAACTTATCCGCCGTTCAAGCTATAAAACGTCTTTCGAGCAACCGGCCCCAGCATTTTAAGCTAATTCATCCCTGGGGCCGGTTGTATCAAGACCGTTTAGCTTAAACGGTGGTTCAGTTCAAAATAGAAAGCAAGTCTATCGTTTTATTCAACAAGCAAACTAAATGTTTTTAACCTTAATACAAAGATACTGTTTACAACTACATATTCAGTGCATAATATTCATGTTCACTCATGCATTCATGAGAGATCTAAGAGTGTTATTTAATTTTGACTTATCCACCGTTTAAGGGGCTTGTTACAACCGGCCCCTGATCTTTAATTACAGCTCATTCTAGTAATCATCATATATATCACGCGAGGCTATTTTTGCTTACAGCTGGTCACATATAAGGTATGACAGTCCATATATGGGAGAATGCCACATAACATATGTTGACCTGCCTACAACATTACAACATGTTTCTATTTTGATTGTTAACTCGTTGATTGTCGTTTTACAGAAATCAGTTAAAAGTTTAGGGGGTGTTTAACCGTCATCGTGAAATGGGCGAGTAGTATTTTCTGAATAGTATTTGACATACAGATTAAAGTCGAGGTTTGTATTTTGATACAGCAGTATTCATTATTTTGCATATTCACATAACTAAATACACAATGTAATCTGCAAGAATTCGTGCAGTTAAAACCTTTCACTGGTGTTCGTGTGACATAAATTTGATAAAAAATTATTTATCTATTTATCGTCTTTGCACATTTTAAGAGCTATTTGCTGCGATCTGCTTTATGTTTTATAACTTTTATTGACGTTTGTTTACGGCAGAACCGATATATTCTCAAACACAATATTATAATCTCGTACCAACGGCAAAAGCCACCTAGGAAGCCGTGTTTTTTTGTTATATTTTGCCAAAAATTCATATTTGAAAATCTAATCTTGAGTAAAATTTTACCGGGAACGACTGAAAAAACGCATGACTAAAATATAGGTAAAAATATAGGTTATTTTGTTATTGATATTAGTAATATATTCTCCCGGCCAAGCTGACAAAATCCGCGTTTGTGGGAAGAACAATTCCCTGTAGCCAGACAATGTATGTCGATCGCGCAGTTACGAGAACAATGTCTATGGTCGAGATTGCCGAAAATTTTCATTTCGAAAGTACGAAAATGCCTCGCTTCTTTCATCCGGAAGGTGTGGGAATTCGTAAACCGAATTCTACGTACAATCGGCTGATGAAATTTAAATCACAATGCGACTATTTCAGTACAGAGGAAACTTATATGATATTGACACTTAAGTTACAGTTCATTGTGTCTCCAAGGACTTTCCTAAGTCGTATTGAAATATATTCCTAGGCGAGTCAGTGCTTGGCGGCGTTATGTTTAGGATAAAAGGGCATTGTAGATGTACTTATTACTCGGGCTAATGTATGTAGGTAGAGCGAGTTGAAAAATGGGCTCGGTTTTTCCTTTTCGTCGCGAGTTTATGAAAATCACGCGTGGGCGGCACGAAGTCTTCGAACGAATCGAAGTCGTCCTAGGATCGTTTCTCGCGCGGGTGTCACGAACATGTCATAACACCAAAAATTAGGCGTTACAAGCTGAAGCGAGATAACTGTAGCCCGAGCGAACGCCTGAGCAGGCGTCTTGTTTGGGCTAATTTGTAATCAGATACAATTTTCGTTTTCGTTGACTATTGTTGTAAAATTCTGAAACAAGGATAAAGCGCTGGGTTACAGGCGTCGAATCTTGACATTTGAACGTCAAGTAATGATATTAGAGCTTATTAGAACGTCGTAGACGGCTATGAAAAGTCTGAAAACAGAAATGATATCCTAAGTTATATAGCTGTTGATAATATTGAATTTGTTTACCTATACATCATATTTTGATTAGCGATTTTGGTGTAGTTGTTTTGCACAGTTTTACATCCATGCAGTTAGGTCTCAGGTCTAGCACCTCTTCCGATGGAAAACTAAATGAAATATATCATGTTGATACTAATAGCATACAATAGATACAATAGGGACACCAAACATATAGCTTAAGCAGCAAGGTCAGACAGTAACTTGCCTAACTTCACTGCTCCAATCCTCCAATTTAAGGCAATATGGCCCCAGTAGCTTCTCTGACACTAAATTTTCTGTCCCTATATATCTTCATTATCTTGTCAATAGGAAGTACTATAACTACATGCAGTAAATCTCGTAGTAATATTCTTTTACAGCAATAACATAGTGCAAGATGGGTTAAGTGCACGGAGGCATGTTATGCAGCGGCATTTAACAAGACAAACATGTAGACATGAACTGGCCAGTCTGCACATTCTTAAATACAAAAGCTGTTAGATAAATATTACAAAAATTGATTGGGCTATGTTTATTTCATTTCAAAACCTTTCCAGCTGGCTACTATACTATACCATGGAAAGAACATGGCCTGCACGTGCACTGTGCAGTCAGGCAATTTAGTGTAGTGCTGACTGCTGGAAGCTTTCAATTTCATAGTTTATCCCTGAAATCCAGAACTATATAGATGAGCTAATAAGCTCATCATTATACTGACATGATATGCAAATAAATAATCCAGAATGGAATCAACCAGGGTTTCCACAATGCAAGAAATTTCCCTGCAATTGACAACCACAAGGGAGGGAGGGATATATGTTAATAGGATATATTATGCATTCTTTTCAAAAGTTCTTTGTTTCTCTTTTTTGTTATTGCTACCCCCCTATGAGGACAGCCACGTGCAAATAAGTTGTGGAAACCCTGGAATCAACTCTTGGTTAAACTACACTGGCGGTCAAAAAGAACTGCTCAAATGTTGCTATTATCGTATGTAACAGGAATCGTGACAATCTATCTTTTATTGTACACTAGCGGTCAAAAAGAACTGTTTAGATACAAATTCATAAAAAAGAAGCGAATATAGGAGAGAGCTTCATAGGCATTTTGTATAATTCTCTTATTAAATTTTGGCTTCCTACCATGGCTTCCTACCATGCATTGGAATCCTAAAAAGTATTTTCAATAATGTAATGCAACCTGCCACACTTCCAAGATATAGTCAAACAATGGTTTCAGGAAGAGGGAGTGACAGAAATGGTTTGCACTGCACAGTCAAAAGACCTTAACCGTACTGAACATCTGTGGGACAATGTGAAAGGGATAGTGCAAGAAAGGAATTAATTCATAAAGCGTCCATGATTTATGCGTTGCTGTAAAGACTGTCCATAGGATGAATTTATTTTGACGATTAAGATTACCACCTTAACAGAAAGTATGCCACGCAGGTGTAAGGCCGTCATCAATTATAAAGCCAAAGGAGGGTTAACAAAATATTAATATTTCATATAGTTTAGCATGTAATCTAGTCCATATTTGCTAGTATATATTGTTAGAGGGACAGTTACGTTCATTTAAGAGCATTTTAACTTGTTTTGAGCAGTTCTTTTTGACCGCCAGTGTATCTTCAGCCTCTCGATGATTGGATTCTGTGTGACTGTATCTTTGGATTTAAAACATAAAGCTCTTCATATCTTGAAACTTTAAGCGTTTCTCACAAGAGGTATAATATGTAAAAAATAACACAAATTGGCTTCCTATGCATTGGAATCCTAAAAAGTATTCAGGATATTAGGTAATTCAAAAAATACATTTCATTTGATATTTGTTATACCGTCGTTTTTTAAATCTTAATTTTTTTAGATATTAAAATATGACATTTATCTAAAGATTGTTTGCGAGGGAAAAGAACAGAAATTATATTTCAAAAAATGAAATTTATAAACAATATATTTATCTGTCATTCAACTGCCTTTTCGTTTCGGCAAAGTTTTATCTGTAATTTCTATCTGTAAGTTTTATCTGAGAAAAGTAATAGGTACGTCTTGAACATCTTCGCAAAAAATGTGGATTATGTCTGATCAAAATTTTTTATCAAAATATTGACAAATATTGACACGGGAATGTCCATAATAAATCGCGAGCAGTAGTTTGCTAGGCCCCCCGCAAAAAAAAGTTAGCTAACATTTGATGACGTCTGATGTTGCGTTTTCTATGCGCTAAATAATATATTTTTCCTTTCGTATCTCTGCCTGTGTGCCTTTGTTAAACTCAACTCATTGCCACAATTGCGGCACCGAATTTGATGGTATTACCTTGACCTTCATCGTTTCTTTTGACGCATCCTATTCAACATTATTCTTCTTGTTTATCATTAGTCTAGGACCTGTTAAGGAGTTTGTATGCATTTAATTTAGGACAGATTATCTCAACTGTTTTAGGGTAAAATGACCATGGCGGTCAACATGGCATATGTGCCAAAATCTGAATCCGGGACGAAAGTCCTGAAAATGACCACACCCAGAAACGGCATAGTCAACATAGCTCTAAATCCTGAATTATCAAAGCTACAGTCTTTCTGAATTGTTTATATGGTTCAGAATGGTTGCTTTTTGGGGTGGTCACTGGAGGGTGAAATTAGCCTAAGTTTCATATGTTTACCATTCCAGGTCAACTGCTAATTATGCATAAAATTACATAATTAATTTTTCCTATTTTCTAAAAATTTTTGCCATATGATGAAAAAAATGCTTATTTTAGTATATTTATTATAAATTTCCTAAGAAATAACAATGTTTTGTTGCGATATGAAATGTTTCATTTCACTTATCCCCCACAGGAACACGATTTTAGCGATATTTTGCAAATTTGATCGCCGTTTTTCGCCGTGCATCGCAAGCACCATCCATATATTGTACTTTAACACGATTCTAGTGGACTAAAGTATTATTCAACCAATTTTCGATGGGTTTTGAAGTAGTGCCATGTAATATTTTTCATTTTTGCGTCCCTTGACATTTCATCAATTATGTCGCCATTGCAATGTTTCGCCGCCTTTCTTCACGATAAATGCCACTTCTTGATCCCCAGCTGTATTTTTTTCACAGCATCGATAAATAATTGACAGTACAATAGCAGATATCCAAAATTTAAAAGCATTTGTCCAACTTGGAAGTAGACAACCTCCCTTCGTTTATCGGGAATGAAATTCAAGTGCGAAAGATTCAAAATAATTTGAAAGTCTCGCGTAAACTCCGCGACGAGTCCTCGTGGACAGCATTACGGGGGGGGGGGACAAAAATTGAAGAATAATTTTTTTCACAACCAAAATCAGTCAACAACTCGAGTAAAATTTGTCCGTTTTGCTGTTAATATTTCTCATGACAAAATTAACAAGTCTTCGCGTTTAAATTGCATGTTCTTGCTTTCACAAAGCTTAAAAAATAAACCAGAAATGTATTTGTGAAAATGTTACCCCCCCTGCAATGTTGCCTACGAGCATTTGTCGTGGAGTGTACGTGCGCTAGACTTTTAAATTATTTTGAATCTTTCGCACTTAAATTTCACTTATTATAGTTTCACTTGCATAGCTGCTATTGTGCAATCAATTATTTATCGATGCTGTGAAAAAAATTCAGCTGGGGATCAAGAAGTGGTATTTATCGTGCAGAAAGGACTGAGTGAGGACTTTCACAGATCCATGTCTATTCTAATATGTTTAATAGTTTTTTGACTGTAAAATTGAAGTCTGTCATAATAATGTTATAAATTATAATAGTGTTTTACTTGTAAATTTATATTGTGACAAAGCTTATAAAATTAAAAAAAAAATTTAAATTAAAAATTAAAAAAGAAAGGCGGCGAAACATTGCAATGGCGACATAATTGATGAAATGTCAAGGGACACAAAAATGAAAAAAATATTAGATGGAACTACTTCAAAACCCATCGAAAAATGGTTGAATAATTCTTTAGTCAACTAGAATCGTGTTAAAGTACTAATTTGGGTGGTGCTTGGGATGCACGGCGAAAAACGGCGATCAGATTTGCAAAATATGGCTGAAATCGTGTTCTGGCGGGGGATATATGAAATGAAATATGTCGTATCGCAACAAAACATTGTTATTTCCTAGGAAATTCATAATAAATATACTAAAATAAGCATGTTTTTTCATCATATGGCAATTTTTTTTTAGAAAATAGGAAAAATTAGACTTTGCCAGGTGAAGCTGTAATTTTATCCATAATTAGCAGATGACCTGGAATGGTAAACATTCATTTTCTTGTAAAATATGAAACTTAGGCTAATTTCGCCATCCAGTTACCACCCCAAAAAGCAACCATTCTGAACCATATAAACAATTCAGAAAAACTGTAGCTTTGATAATTCAGGATTTAGAGCTATGTCGGCTATGCCGTTTCTGGGTGTGGTCATTTTCACGATTCTCGTCCCGGATTCAGATTTTGGGACATATGCCATGTTGACCGCCATGGTCATTTTACCCTAAAACGGTTGAGATAATCTGTCCTAAATGAAATGCATACAAACTCCTTTACAGGTCCTAGACTACAAAAAATCTGACTCGAACATTTTAATACTGAACAAAATTCAATAATAAAACTATCAGAATGTCAACACTCAACAGCTCTTAAACCAACTTATGCTATCGAAAATCTGTTCTCACTTCACACATTCGCTGCTATTTGATTTGAGTATACGCAGTGAAGTATAAAGATGCACGCGAGATTCAAATTTACACTTCAAAATAACTTTGAGTTATATATGTTATTTACCGGCTGCGAGGATGGAAAATATTTTCTCGAGGTATCAAAAACGACCCGAGGCCGCAGGACGTTTTTGAGACCGTGGGGAAATATTTTTCTATTTGGACCGACCAAAACGGTAAATAACGTACTTATTTTTTTTTAAAAAAGCGGTGTTCGGTCGTGGCTATTATCATTTTGTAGTTACACTCGACTGGCGACAAAAACATAAACAATCAAAACGTAATTTGTTTAATTTACTAAAACTCACTTCAATTTATCGGGATATAGCTACATTTGGTCCATATATTTTAAAATAAAAAAGGTCAAAAGTTTGCAAAAAACAAAACAAAACAAATACGCTTTCGCTCGAGCACAAAATATAGCTATTATAGGATTCCGGACCGTGGTCAGATATGGTAAAATTCCGCCCGCTGCTACAGCCAATCAGATTGCAGGAAAGGCTAGGATTCCGTCCTAAAAATTTATTATTATTTGGGTTATTTGCTAAACCACATACAAGCTCCTATACAATAAACTGCATCCCGGCAAAAACAAAATAAAATAAATAGATATCTACCTGTTTAAAATACTTGGTAGCTTGTAGATTATGTATGTTCCTCTCTCATCGCTCATCTGTACCCGTGTTGTTTGTCGATATGTTCGCTCATAAATAACTTTTTTATTTTGTGAATGTTTTTTCAAAATAGTTTGTGAAATACAGTTGAATAGTTTGCTGACGTCCTCAGCAAACCAGGGTGTTGCTCATTATCGGACATTACCCGTTAAAATTTTGCGCATGCGCATAACTAACAAAATTTGCATGCGACGTCGACCGTCCATGACATAGAATTTGGACGACTTGGATTCGGTATGTTATGACAAAATACCTGCGTGTAATAAATTTCCCTGTGGAATTGGTACCCTTGCATAGCTTCCAAGCTAGGTATGGTAGTTTCATTGGATTTTTTGCTGCAAATGTTGTATAGAACTCATGGAAGTACCTGGGAAAAGAAATCAACACAAAATTGAAGATGAACAAAAATCTGGTCAAGTTGGAAGGGAGGATGCAGGAACAATATCCGTCGAAGGAAGGCATTCGAATTTTGTGGAATCAAATAATTCAAAGATGAATTCTGCTGAAAGAGAGCAAAAAAAAATATCTGATGATAATGATCCGGATAATGGTATGAAGTGTAATTTTTCTCCGCTTTGTATCTTTTAGGTCTATCATTTTACATGGTGCCAATTTTTAAATTTGGTTGAATAATTCTTCAAGGAAAATTTATTATAAAAATTTCATCCTCCCTCCTATTATAAACCGAATTAGTATATTCCTCCTTCTTTCTTACCACTGTTCTATTAACTATTGTGATTTTCGTTTGATTTTCGTTGTGAAAGAAACTGTTTGAACGGCGACTAAGTTTGTTTTTTGAACCCAAATGTAGAACAGCCTGTTAACCTTCGTGGTAAAAGATTTCCGGATTCAATTAGGGAAAGTAATAAACCGGAACTAAGAGGACAATCGTCAGATGCACTATTATCACCCTCTGCAATATCACCCTATACAAACGCACAAGACGAAATCTCACAAAATAGAAATACACAGTTAAAACCCTTTCATAATTTTGACTTAAAACCTAAATATACTCTAAAGACAACACGAAAAGTTGATAACCGTACATTAATGGATGATGAGTTAACAAACCATGATCAAATTCCTGACTATATTTTAAGAACATTAATGATTGCTAATTACCATGCACGAGAGTTTACCGTGACCTCAAGTAAAGACAAAACTAAATATAGTTATGAATCTGATGAAAGTGACAGTGAAGATGAAGATGATGAGCACGAAGATATGGATGTAGGGGAGGTCAATCCCATGGATGCTTTGATTGGTGTCTTTCATTGCTCTGACGAATTTTTACGTCAAGATCTTGCTAAAAAATTGTCCGCATGTCAACTTAGTGTTCCTTTTCTCCTGCCAAACCCTGAAGCGCCTTCCGAAGACGTCACAGTTTTGTTCTCAGCACTAGAGAACGTCACAAAGGCTTGGAAAGGGACATTTGATGATAATGATGGTGCACAACAGGTCTTTGCTATCGAACATCCATTTCCGATAGTTTCTTTTATCCGCATCGGCGAACCTAACAAGTCAAAATCATCCTTGATTAACAAAATTATGAGTGACGGAAGCAAAGATCATGATATTTTTTTCCACAAAAATATGAAAGGTGGAAACGTTAAAAGAAAAATCGTAGATGGATTGGTTGAATTGGGCTGGTTTCTTCCAGGAGGGAATGAGAAACAGACCCTACAAAAAGAAATTTGTTTTGCCAATCTTCGAGGAGATGCCATGGAATTCAGAAAGCAGAGAGATTTTCTTTCAACGATCTCATCCGTGTTATGCATTTTACTGCCGTCCAATTACCCGGACGACGCTACGAAAATATTGTTGGGAAAAGCAGCACTTAATGAAGCAAAAGTTATTTTTATTTTCAATGAAAAACCCTCAACCGATGCAGATAATTATTTCAAAGAACTAAGGAGAGCACACCGTGGAAAATTGTCTTTGATAACAGAAACAAAAAAATCCAATGAATACGATTTTCTTAAAAGTATACGAGTAAATATCCAGAAGACCATAGAAGAAGTGACGCCGATACCAATCGTCGAACGTGCAACCTGTGCATTGGAGTGTGGAATTCGCTCTGATGAAGACCAACCGTATATCAGATTTGAGACGTGCGTAGACTCGTGGTTGGAAATGGAGGTACAGGAAGCTAAAAAACTTCTGACACTACAAACGCATGTCCCAATTTTGGCAGATTTGGAACGAGAAAAATTTTGTCCCAAACACAAAAGTAGCAAATCAAAAAGTCAATGTACCAAACGAGATGTTGACGAAATTTATAGAGACATCACAGAAGAAAGGGAGGCACAAAAAGAATCTTTCCAACGCCTGGACGAACGAGTGCTTCATTATCTCAATTGTGTTGCAGTGATGGGTGAAAGTCAACGAAATAAATCCTTAAATAAATTAAAACATCAATTAGATAAAATGTCTCTAAAGGTAATGACTCAGTTGCATCAAAAATATTGTGAGGCTTCGCTTGAACTTCAAAAGAAGAGGAAGAAAACACCTCTCACAGCGGACACACAACTGCCTGAGTATGAGCATTTGAAACACTTGGAAAAATCAATTGCGAATAGCTCGTTTGGCTTAGAACACATCATAAGAGAACTTGCCCAACTATACCAACTTCCTGACATCCCTACTAATGATTATGCTGGTGCCGCTGCAGATATTTTGCTGTCTGGTCAGCCTCTTGAGCTGCTAGATGGCGATTCCTCATATATTCCACTAAAATGGTTCAATGCTGTATATAGTAAACTAGAACAGAAAACAAATAACGCTAAGCTATACGTAATTTCTGTTTTAGGAATTCAAAGTTCAGGTAAGTCGACAATGTTAAATACGATGTTTGGTTTAGAATTTGCAGTCAGTGCTGGCAGGTGTACGCGCGGAGCTTTTGCTAGTCTTATTCCTGTTGGTGATTCCCTCAAAACTGTGTCGAAGTTTGATTATGTCTTAATCATTGATACTGAAGGTCTTAGAGGATCTGGTAATCCGAAGCTGCGGGAACATGACAATGAGCTGGCAACATTTGCAATTGGTGTTGCTGATGTGACTATTGTGAATATCTTTGGGGAAAATCACAATGAAATGAAAGAGTTCTTGGAAATTGCTGTGCATGCTTTTTTGAAGATGAAGCTTGTAAAAGAGAGAAAGAAATGCAAAATTGTTCACCAAAATGTTGCTGCAACTGATGCAAAAGAAAAATTGACCATCGACCGTTCAAACCTAAAGGAAGATCTTGACAAAATGACCAGAGTAGCAGCAATGCAAGAAAATTGTGAAGAGGAATTTCAAAAATTGGACGACATCATGTCATTTGACGAGAATGAAGATGTATTTTACATACCAAGCCTACTGCAAGGTAATCCACCAATGGCCCCAGTAAACCCCAACTATGGAAGAGGGGTCGAAAAGATCAAACAAAATATTATTACCTTGATGTCGTCGAAAGATTGTTTTCAACTTTCTGTATCCCAGTTTCGAGAAAGAGTCTGTAACCTTTGGAACGCTATTCTAAAAGAAAACTTTATATTCAATTTCCGTAATGTAATCGAAGTTAGAGCGTACGCATCTTTAGACCGAAAGTTTTTCGAAGAATCTGTGAATTTGATGGCAACGGGAATGACAGACCTGGAAAGAAAAATCGAGGTAGCTCTTAGGAGATGCACAACAAAAGATGAACGTAAGGAAGTATGGAATGGGTACAGAACACATATAGGAAAAGAGGCAGCTGCTCTTGGACAGAAAATGGAAACGGCAATGGATGTTTTCTTTGAAACAAGCGAAGATAAGGTAACCCTTGAGCAATGGAGAGGAAACATTATGAAGAAAATCATACAAATGCAAGACAATCAATCCATGGAGGTCACTAACAACTGCTTAGCAGCTTATAATTATTGGCAGAATCGACAAGATGTTGATGAAAAAAAACAAAGCTATCAAAATGAACTCCTCCAAAAGGCAAAAAAGTTAATAACTTCAGCTCAAAATACTGGCGATACAGAGAAATTTTTAGCAGCGTTTGAACACGAATGGAACCAATGGATGGTAGATGTTCCACTTTGTCAGGAAAAAAAAACAAATGTCGATGGCAATATGTTGGAAGTTCTTCGCGAAACAAACCGCGCTCTAAATGCGGAAATGACTGGAAAATTAGAGAAACATGGATACTCCATATTAAACTTTAAGGTTGTTTCTCCACAAATTGACCTCAAACAACTTAGCATAAAGTGGTATAATAAATTGTATAATTTTGTAGTTCAGCAAAAACAGGAAGTTCTCTCAGAAGCAAAAAAAATCAGTGATGAAGCGACTGGTAAGGCGCTTGATTTTGCAAGAAAAACTTCGCAATCTGGAGTTAGGTGCAACAACAATGACCTCGCCCAAATGTATCATATGGCCATTACTACCCTGGACAAGGAATCAGAAAGGTACAGCTTTAAATTTTGCGACTCCTTAAAATGTGATATATTGCTTTATACATTTGCCCAAGCTTTCGATATTTTCGATGAAATGGAAACCCGGTATTTAAACGAACGGAACATTCGGGAAGACCTGGAAAAAAACCTGCGACCAATGTTGAAAACATATTTCAAAAATCTTTGCGAAAAGATGGGGAGAGAAGTTTTGGCTGCTACGTCATTCGCTGATGTTCTTCAAAAGCCAATTGAGTCGGAGCTGAACCGCATCATGGGCCCTGCAGTGGCGAAAGAAGTAATGGCGAACCAGACTGAGTTCCAGAGTAAAGGTCAATTTCATGCCAGTGTCCTTATTCAACTTGGAAAGGAAGGTAAATTTGAAGCATATATACCTTACCTGGAAGATCCTTTTAGCTTCCTTAAAACAAAAATGCAAGAATCGGTAGAAAACTACTGTTTAAACAAGACGCCTAACCCCACGATAAAAATTTTGATAAAAACGGTCAAATTTATAAAAAAAAAAATTTTCGCTGCGATTTCCATCGCGAGCAATGAGACAAAAACTGCGGACGAAAAATTGACTTTTTGGGTTGGACAATTTGTGAAAGAATGTTCTACGCTCGCGATTACGAAAGAAATGTTCGCAGTGGCTGCAATTGATGATGATTTGAAAGACATTGATGTGTTTGAGGCCAAGGTATGCAAAAGTGTAAAACAATTCCTTGAATCATTGATCAAGTGTGGGGTGAATCGTTCAACGATGAGTAAATGGAATCCAACACCATGCGATCATTTGTTGAATGCATCAATGTTCGGTTGTCAAAGTTTTTGTCCATTCTGCAAAGGTCTTTGTGATAATACCGTTCCCAATCATCCAGGTAGTCATTCTACAAAAATCCATCGTCCGATTGGATTAACCGGATACAGCGACATTGACACGGAAATATTAGAAATTAGTATTTGTACAAACAATGTCGCCAATGAGACTATGTTTCGAAACCGGGACACTTGTGGAGAATGGCATTACTACAAAGATTATCAATCCGTCAATGATTATTACAAATCATGGTCAATTCCCCCCGACCCTTCATTTGAGGCATCCGAGTATTGGCAGTGGTTTGTTGCAAAATTTTGGAAAGATTTGGCAGCGTATTACAACGTGAAGGAACCAGAAGTCCCTTCATCTTGGAAAAACCGTTCGTTCAAAGAGGTAGAGCGCAAACTTCGACAGGAATACAATATGGTGAAAAAAGTGTCCTTTGAGAATCCATTACAATGTGACAAATGAAATAAAAAAATCATGCGATTCTCTTGCATTACTCCGTAGTATGTGTTTTTGCAGAATAATAGTATAGCAACCTTACATGTAAACTATTTAGTTTTATATGCAACTTAGAAAAGACAAGCAATATTGTTACTGATTATTGCACGTGTATCCATTAATCTAAGAAAGTAATGACTTTAAAAAAAATTTATTAAGTTTGATAAACATAATATTCTCAGTTAGTTTAAATGTTATGACGGTAATATGCAATACTAATATTCCGAAAATGGTTAAATATTTTTAATGACGGCAATGAAACTTTCAAATTTTAATCACGGAATAATGATACTTAAACACGTATACCTAAAACCTATCAATATGATTGATATACATAGGAACAACCCGCTATACACTAAGCAACACATGAAGCAACTTTTAACCTGCATTCATGCCTAATGCACAAATATTATACAAGCACTAAGGATATAGAGTATATACATCATGCACAGTTACACTGCACAAGTCATGTCCTTCCTCCATTACGACTTTCGTAACTGGTACAACGTCAAGTTTGGATTCCTCAGCGAAATGTCAAACCAACCGACGAACCACAAAATATTCAGTTTTTTTTACAAAGAACGATTGGATTATCCGAACTGTAAGTTCAAATGGACTATTAGCTAGAATAATATATTAAGTATACTGTACAGTATTGTTTTTCTTTAAATGCAAAACTGTCATATTCTCCTTAAATTTGATTGACAACTTGTTTCGATTACAAAATATATCAAGTGAACATATACAGTGTCAGAAAAATCTAGTACAGATGCTATCAGGAAGATTTCGGTGTTGCGATGATATGTTGATGTCGCACTACATTTGCATTAGGTTCGGAAGTGATGATTATGGGGTTTGCGATTTTTACCGATTATATCTCAAGTCACACATTGAATTTGCTGTTCATATTCCTCATTGATCCAATAATACTTTCCTAAACTGAAAGTAACCGCCAAATGTTTCTAAGCAAAATTGATAAGCTATGAATTATCTCATTTCGTCCATAGTAATTTTTTTCGTCCATTCATTATACTGAACACTTGATATTCCGAAACCAAGGCAACAATAATGCCCTCATTGGAAGACGACAATACGAGTAGAATGGGAAAGTCTAAATGAAATTGTCAATAAAGCAACGGCTTTGGACAAGAAATACGCGGGAAGAAAATGTTGTGTGTCAATGGCTTGCAATAAAGCATTGATTTAACGGTGAAGTGATGCAGAGGCTTAGGCATGGAGCTATAAAGAGCGAGTGTTATTAAAAACTTGAACCATGCAATAATACAACGTTTAATGGAAAACGTTTTTAAGGAACAGCAACGCGGAGTATGAAAGATTACTATATAACAATGATGATTTGGTTTGCCACTTCAAATCTACAGTATGAACAGTCGTATTACCATAGCTGTCTAAAAATAAAGGAAATAAACAGGGAGCATATCATTTACATCACATTTCGTAGTAAAAGTGACAATTTATCTGGATAAACGAAGCAGATTCGACGATGACCAAATCAAACATGAACGATCGTGTTGGATGTGTAAAAATATCGGCAGTTCAACTTAAGAAAATGAACTACACAATTTCAACAACTATAAAATTGATGAAGCTTAGATCGATGAAGAACATTGTTGCAAAGTTTGGAATCAGTTCCTTTTTTCACGTGTTCTTCTGTAAAAAAGCACCATTCTAGGATATGAAAAAGTGACAGAGAACTAATGGACATATACAATTGTGATTATTTGTCTTTCGTATCATGTCGAGAAGGAAAACAGATAATTTAAAGGGAAATTAATCAGGAATCGTCAACGAAACATTGATGCCAAACTTGAATTCAAGTGTTGTTTGTATAATGATTTGGAGTAATAGCTTAAGTACTAAATTGGGGTTGTCTGACTGCACCATTCCAATAAAAAACAGTCGTTTAAATTTTTGTCTCGCGGGTTAAAGTTGGAAAGTTTTATTGCATTAAATTGTCGGAAATTATACCGTAATATGATGGCAAATATCAGTGATAATGGCAAAACATGAAAATTTTCTCCCAAACTGTTACGTAAGTATTTCCATTCCTAAAAGTAGAGCTTACCAATGCGCACTGAAAAAATTGTTTTTAGAAAACCCTTTCAGTTTTTAGAAAATCTACTTTTCTTCAAAAAATGTAGCGCAAAAAAAATTCTCTTTTGCGATTTTCAACATATCAACGACATCGTTGCTTAATTTGGTTGATCATAGCATCATTGACATTGTATTAATCACAACCACTGGTCAGACCAATACTGATGCAATAATTACGTTGAGAAAATATTATGGTTATCTTGTTGATTTAAACTAATTCAAACTTAAGTTCACATTTTTAGGCCTAGTTCAGTAATATTAGATATTATCTGTAGCCATTGTATTACTTATGACGTATATAATAAGTATAAAAAATTCTCATTGTGAATATATACTGCATGCTCTTAAAAATATTCGGTTAAATTTTTATTTGAAAAAATATAAAAAAAACCCCAAATTGTGTGAAAATTCAAAAATGTTGTGTGACTAACAGTGTGTGACTACGACGATGAAAAGACGGTTACCTAAAGAGTACAGCGCAGTTTACATGTGTTAACTTATCTTAACTTCGTCCCATGAAATAACTTGAAACGGTAAAATCGCAATAGCGGTGACAAATGTAACTGATTTTTTAAAAATTGTTTTTACCATTTGAATCATCCCTGTTCCAAAATTAACAAATATAAATAACAATAAAAACCAAAGAGGAAATTGGTGTTGCAGAGAATACTTTTTAGTACCAACTCTCCTCAGAGTTGAGAATGATATCGAAACCAGAAAGACGCTTTTTTGCGATGTGAAAGACGCTATAGTCTACTCGACAGCAGCACTGCAGCACCCTAACTCTCAATATTGTTCTTTTTAATTCTCTTCGTTGTGTTCCTCACGCGTTTCAGTGTTAATTAGACCTAACTAAAGAGAAAACAAGAGTGATACTTGGTGGCAGTCGGCCGAACCCATCGCAGGTGCATCCATACCAGGAAGATCATTTATACGTTTATACACACACGGACTATGTGAATCAGAGTTTTAGTTACCGCAGGGCATTATCATTACATATTTGTGGAATAATCTACCTGAATGAATCCACGTGCTATTAAATCTCTCAAAACAAGCCATCAATAATTAGCATAGAATGAGTTAGCTTTTCCTCACGCGGCAGTGTGATCTCCTAAAGCAGTATCTTTTCCATCTACTTAAAAGTATTAGGTATTATCCACGAACGGGCGCGAAGCGCCCTATGAGGGTGCTAATTCCGCTGGGAGATTAATTACACCCGGGTATTGTGGCAGAACATAGCGGAATCCAAAGTTGTCCAAATTCCATGTCATGGACCATGGACATTCAATGGTCATGGTACTTGTGCGCACGCGCAAAATTTGAACGAGTGAAGACTGGTAATTAGCAACTTTGCATGAATTCAATAATCGAAAACAACATTCGACGTTTACTGCTTGGTTATTTATATTATTTATATTATTTGTGCTATTTTGATGTTTTGAAAGTTTAGCTATAGTGAAGTATTAACTCTCACTTAAACTGTGAAAGTCTATAACTTCATGCAACGAAATGCAGCAGGAAAACGGCCAAACATATGTACTGAACATAACTAATTTCAATCCATTTGTAAACATGGCGGATTTATTACGACATAGTATCGTTGGAAATTAGAATACTCATTTATTTGAATTGGTTTTTAAAATATACGTTGAAGAAGTGAACGTTACGATATTATTCAAGATAAGATACACTGCATATACTTGTAAGCAAAAAATACAAATTGCTAAAAATATTGCTTATAATCATCTTGGATGAAATGACCATCTGGGACGGAAGCTTTGGTTGGTGCTCAGAGGTAACTCAGGGGAGGGGTATGAACTTTCTAATTCGACGACAAAATTTAATTAATGCGTGAGTAATTTGAAATCAAACGTCTGTCTGCCTTCTACAGGCGGTCACTGCAGTGTTACAGAATTTTGAAAGAGGAAGATAGCGATGATTACAAGTTACAGCGAGCCGAGTTGAAATAGGCATTTTCCAAGCATCGTGTAATTATCTCTTTTAGCCTTGTGCGATCGATGTTTTCATATTTTTACGTTTTTAATCCTTCTACGTAACATAACTGGAAAAAACGGGACACATTAAATGTGTCGTAGGGGCCTATGATCATTATTCCGGTTCAGCGGTTTTATCCATGATGTAGTTACGCTTTTGGTTCTTTTGGTTTTAAGGTGGCCCACTACAAAAAAAATCATGATTTATTCTGTTTTAAAAGGGATGCAAACCTAAATCTATCGCTAAGCGATCCTGACTATTTTTGTTCCAAAAAATATACAAAGAACGCGAGAATTGAACAAAAAATTTTATTAATTAGGGTTTTACCCCGAGCAAACAAATTAAAAGGGTCGATTGGCTTATTCTATTGTTTCATTGTTCTATCTATTGTATTGTTAGCTATCTATAATTTATGAATATATATGCAAAACTTTTTTCGTTGCTTTTCTTAGAAAACTAAAATTCTCATTCCCCTTACTTTCGTGCACGATAACTCAAAAAGTAAAACAGCTAACTTGATGAAATTTTGGCATGGAGGTGAACTAAAAGTTTTGTATTCCGTTCAGTCTAAGTAAAATAGCGATTGGTTATTTCAGATAGATCGTATATAGAAGTTTTTAATTTATAGCCTGTAAAACGTTTAATACTGGACAAGATTTTTTATTCTAGTTCAGCCCCGAGGCTGAGGGTTCAAGAGTGAAAACCTAGTTTGTTATCGTGTTTACAAAAAGTCAAAAACCGTCTATTTCCCCCATTGGGTGTGTCTGTTCTGGGTAACTATAGTGATTGAAGTTTCCTACAAGTCTTTTTTTCACTCAGAGCAACTTGGCCTTGCAGGCTTGCAATATGGCGTAAACAGAGTTTTATATTTTTCAAAATTAAAGAAAAAAATGTAATTATTTGTATTCTGCGCCAGAGCCAATGCTGGCCGGAAAAAGGTTCTAGGGGAGTGGAGGCGAGCATGTTTAAAAACATGGCGGGAATGTTGGGTTGGGCGGGAAAGTCTGATGTTGGTTCTCTTTAATCCCCGAGCCGGCGCGAAGCCACAGATTAACACCCAGATGTCTCACTTCTGACTCAAAAGCGTAAGCGATTCGTCACTGCGCATCGCTTTCTGCGCACGCTTAGCAAGTGACTAGAGGCATTCACCCCCCCGAAATAAAATTTCAAAATGGAGACGAACTGAATTGAAGTGAAAAACTGCACGATGTGTCAAATGAGTCGAAATATATGTACATTTATTGATTTGTACAGGAAGTTCCATTCAATGTAAAGATATTCAAACACTTTTTAAAAGAAATATGTTTGAAATTATGGAGATTTCTACTGCTTATAATTTTCCGCTCCTACGACAATCGAAAAAAGATAAAACACTCGTACAATATTGAAAACGAGGTACTCTAAACTCACTTTTCCAAAGCGCGTATAGATGATGATGGATTCAGACACAAACTTAACTACACAGTCGCCTTCTCTAGCAAATGAGAGGAGGTTTTTTTCCATGTATAAAATAGTTCGGCTCCATTTTGAAATTTCGGGGGGGGAATGCCTCTAGTCACTTGCTGAGCAAGCACTTACGCTTTTTTAATCAGAAGTGAGACATCTGGGTAATCTGTGGCGAAGCGCCGTGCGAGGGTACTAATTCCGCTGAGAGATTCATTACACCCGGGTATTGTGACAGAACATAGCGGAATCCAAAGTTGCTCAAATTCTATGTCGTGGACACTGAGCTATATAATAATTCCTGGAGGACCGGTTCTTGACCAGAAAGTGAAGCAAAAAACATGGCGGATTTCGGCGTTTGCTGACGCCACTTGGTTCCTTTTGCTCATGGTAGTTACCACTGACATACCGCGATACAAAGTGAGAAATTGAGTCCGTCTCCCTCCTGGATTTTATGAAAATATTTTCAGCTTTCCGTATATATTTTTTGTTTTTCATATAAAATGGATAAAAGTATTTCTCTTTTTCCCTGTTCAACAAATGGAAAGGACACGTAGCTTCGTGCTCTGCGTCTGACGTTGTGAATGGCTTAATTCACTTATCGGTAGAGTGAATTTTCTCATTTTGCTCTTATTTTATAACATCCAGGTAACTGAGGTAACTGACTAAACTGAGGTAAGCCGTTTTTCAACTTTTTTTACTATAAACAATTTCGTTTTGGTTTCGAGTTGGACTATAGTATAACTGATTACCAATAACCAAAGCCTCTGAGACAATAAATCCATCAAACGTGTGGTACAAACAGTCAATGCAATGTTTATACTCAAATTTTATCATTTTTTCTTAACTGTGTGGGGAAAAAATTATATTCCTGGCAGTGTCAATCTTTTGAGTTTGGTCTATGTTGTTTTCATGATAGCAAACATCAATGCTATAGGTAAACCATTCCCCAGTGAGTCTACTATAGTCACTCTTCTGTTGATCCCACCCAGCATCAATTAACATGATCTGAGGGTGCTAAATACATAATAAGATGCTGTAAACAGTGTAAAATTCCAACCTCTGATAGTGAGCCCTGTTAAAGCCTAGTTAATATATTATCTTGTTTACCTTGTCAAATCCAAAGTGAAATGATCAATTATCACAGCTTTTAATTTATTTTTTAGCTTCTTGCACCTTGGGAATAAATCTTGATCATATCTCCATTTTTATTTTTCAGGATGAAGTTCATGCATTTTATGACTGTGCATTGTTATTCTTCATTTCCATGTTATCTGATTTTGTTGTTGGCTGGTGTTTTTATACCATTTGTGATATTAATTAATGAAATAAATATAAACATGCATTGACTGAGCAGTGTCTTCAATCTGCAGCAACTTTTGTAATTTTCTGTTTATGGTATCAACCTCCAAAGGGGTTATATTCATTAGGCTAATCAGTGCAGCCTATGGAGGAATAAATGTTATTCTTTACTATGACCAGGGGTCCAGGGATGCAATTTGAGAATGCTGAAAACAGGTTTATTAAGGTACAAGTTGATGACTTGAATGAAAAGTATATT